ATAAAAAAGAGTCTCGAGTTTTGTAACTGAATTTACAGTCTTATTTTCTACATTGGTTTCAAATTCTCACTAGAGGCTCAAAAGCAGGACCCTGTGCTGCAGATTCACATCCAAGTGATTTATTTATTTATTTATTTGTTACCTGGAGTCTCTGATTTTTCTGCAATGAGTGGCAAGGTAACAAAAATGTGGTTCATAACTTCCTGGGGCTCATGTTCTAGAGAGGGGAATAAATATAAGCACATATGCCACAGTGAGATCAATGCACGACAGAGTGCAGGCTAGGAGCCAGGGGGGCCCAGGGGCAGAGGGAGCCCCAGATCCTCAGGGCACGAGGAGTGGAGTGTAGAAAGTGAGGAGGAGCCCAAGCACTGAATCTTGAGAGAATCTTTAGGTGTCCAGATTTAGCAAATGGTTTTTTAAAAATGCAGGATGACTTGTTAAATGGATTTTTTTTTTTTTTTTTTTTGGTAGAGGTATGTCCTGCGTAGAGCTTGGGTCATGAAGGATGGATGTGGTTCTTCAGGGGACTTTGGGAAGGGCACGCACTTCAATCAAAGGAGCTGTTTGTGCAAAGGCATGGAGGTGTGAACAGTGTTGATTTGTTGTCTGTTTCAAATGCTCACGTGTGGGCTTCACTGTGGACTGACTTGGAGGGCAACCTTATTTCTGAACTTGTCCACCACTGCATCCCTGAACCCTCGGGCTGGTGGAGGAGCGGCAGGATTTGAGGCGGAGCAGGAAGCAGGGCTGTCCCTGGGAGCCCCATGAGCTGGGTGAGGAGTATGGACTTCTTCCACAAGAAACTGGTAGCAGGGAAGGATTTTAAACAACAGCGTGAAAGTACTGTTTGATTTTTGGCAATTGTGGGAAGAGAATTCTGCAAAGGGGCAAGACCGAAATCTTCAGGACCCTTTAGAAGGCAGATTAGTGGCCCCTCAAAGATGTCCACATCCTTATCCCCAGAACCTGTGACTATGTTAGGTTATACGGCAAAGAGAAATTAAGGCTCTTGATGGAACTAAGGTTGCTGATCAGCTACCTTGAAATGGGAAAATCAAGGGGCTGGGGATATAGCTCAGTTGGTAGAGTACTTGCCTCACATGCATAAGGCCTGGGTTCAATCCTCAACACCACACACACACACAAAAAAAAAAAAAAAAAAAGAAAGAAAAGAAAAAAGAAAAAAAGAAAGAAAGAAATGGGGAGATCATTCGGGCTTGCTGGAGTGGACCCAGGGTAATTCCCCGGGACCTTGAAAGTGGAAGAGCAGACAGAAGAGGAAGTCAGCATCAGAGACTTGAAGAAGCTGTATTAAGCTGGGTGTGGTGGTGCATGCCTTAATCCCAAGCAACTCAGGAGACTGAGGCACGAGAATTGCAAGTTCAAGTCTAGCCTCAGCAACTTAGTAAAACCCTCACTACTGTCCTGGGGCTGACAGGGAACCTGCTTCTGCCACAGAAGCCTAAGGGGGAATCCCAAAGGAAGAAGCTTGGGAGTTGCGTGTGTTGTGGTTGCACAGAACAGTGCTGAGCCATTGGTACAAACCTTCAGATATTTTATGTAGCAACTAGATTTGTGTGGTACATTGGGAATCCATTCATTTGATGGGGGAACAAATCTGAATTCCCAACCTGGTTTATCAGTCCTGAAGCTGCCAACCATGCTTGCTAAGCTGACTCTATTTTCAGATTTTTTTTTTTTTGCATGTACTAGTTTTATAATTTTAGTTCGTTCATGGAAACATGCAGGGTGACTAACTACTGGTGACTCATCCTCACATTATCCCTGTGTGCCTGTTGATATATTCTGCAAGGGCTTGGGAGGAACATCCCTAATGACACGTTTCCGAATGCCCTGTGTGGCTCTATCATCATCCATCAAGGTTCCCTTTATCATCTATCTGAAGCTATTTGGAGTGACCATCACCCCATGGGGAATTACTATCCACAAATCCCTTGTTATTTGAAAACAACATGTCTTGCATCAGTTGCAAACTGGACATAATTTTATCCACATCATCTTGATAAAGTTGATGAAGGTTGGTTTTGCTTCCTCTTCCTGTCTTGTGAGTCACTTATAGATTTTTCTGCCAGGCTAACCTCAATTGTCTCACGTGTACAACTGCAGCTTTCCTACTAATCAATTAATCCAGGCTGTAATTGACAGGCAAAAGGACTAGCCCTTGGGTTTTGCAATGTGATAGCAAGGCTTGATAATTACCATTTGTCTTTAGTTATCTTCAAGAGTAAAATTCCTTCGGTTGCAGGTCATGGGAGTAAACAGATAATTTCACCCAGAGACACAGTTTTCTTGAAACCCATCAACAAATGTGGTCTTTCTCTTCTCTCAGGTCCTCCTAGGCAAGAATGTTAAAACTGGTAGAGTGCTAAAAATATATTTCTTGATCTCCCCGACCCCTTTGTTGATATACATTTGAAGTTTTTTCTTCACACTGTACTTAATACATCCCAAATGCAGAAAGCTTATATTCATACATTGGCTTTCCTGTGTTTTAGAATTTGGCATATTCATAGTGAAAAATGACTGATTTGATAAATGTATATTTGCATAATACAATCTTGGACTTTTTTCCCTCCTCCTCTTTCTTTTCTTCATTCTTCAAATGTAAAACCCATTGAGGTTCATTAAAATAAATAAATAAATAAATAAATAAATAAATAAGGCCAGGGCCTGAACCTACCTCATGGCTCCGTGCTGTCATATTTGGTTAATTACTGTGAGGAAGCACTTGCAAACAAAAAAAGAATCCAACGAACATTCTGAATTTCCTTCCTATCTCTGTCACCATGTTCCACACAGCTACGTGCTCTTTCTGGGGCTGCAATCAGTTCATCTTTGCATTCTGCTCTTTAAAAGCAGTAAGGTACATTTCTGTGGGTCAAGGCATTCTTGTGAATCACCTCCATTCTTGTGAATCACCTCCAGCCCCTTAGGGCAGAGACCCATTGCAATATAATTGTACTTCCTTTTATCCTTAGTTATCTGCATTGTATTTGCCCAAGGTAAATATTTTCCCAGCAGTCAGCAGGTAATTAAAATTCTGAACCTTTTATGGCCCTGGATCCTTATCCATTTGAAAAATACTCACCTAGGTGGATGGTCCAGAGATGCAAAGGTATGTAGACCTGATGATCTGGATGCAGAGGAATCTGAGGACCTGGGAGCCAGGGGAGTGGGGGAGGCCCACAAAAGAATCTCTTTTGGAATGGCCAGTCCCCCTGACCTGCCCTGGAATTTTTACAACCAGAGGCCCCTCCTTTGTGGCAGACAATGAAGGTGTGGTGTCTTTACAGTTTGTGTGCCCAACTGTGTGTTTTGGGGGGTAGGTAGAGTATTCTCATTAGTAGCAGTTTTTTTTTTTTTTTTTTTGGCTCTGGAGATCCCGGAATTGGGGATTCCACGACCTGTAGGGCAGGAGCTGGGGCCCGCACTCTGGAATCTGAGTGACGTGACCCAGACCTTGTGAAAGCAGGGGTTCAGAGATCGATGGAGGTTCTTAGGCTGCGGTTTCTCGCCTGGGACTTTGAAATCCAGGCAGGTGGAGGTCGAAGGTCAGCCCGCCAGCTCCCCGTGGTCCTCTCTGCCTTGGGGACCCTCTCTCGGGTGCTGGATTCTGGCAGACTGGCCTGTGGAACTGTCTGGGAGCGGAGCTATTTCAGAAAAGCTGACACGTCACTCACTGGCAGGGTTCAACCGGGCCACGACATTTGTGTGAATGCCTGCTTTTCCTCTAATTCCGATCTCAAAAAGCCTCAAAATCAATTTTAAAAACTCAAGAGAGATGACCCAAGATCCTTAGGAGGAAGCAGTGTTTCATCATCTGACCTCCGCCAGAGCCGCGCCGCCCGCCCGCGGGTTTTAGAGCCCGGGAGCCCGTCCGGCGTGGCCGACACTGCCCCCTGGAGGCCGCCGCGCGCGGGGCAGGCGCGGCCCCCGCCCGAGCACGTGGCTTCTTGGAGCTGCCGGGACTGAAGCGCTGGCGCGCTCCTCGGCTGCGTCCTTCCTTCCGCGCTCTGTGCCAACGCCCTTTCCATTCCCGCCGCCCCTCCGCGTCCCCCACTTTTATTCTACCAGTAACTACTGCGGATAGGGTGGCCCGGCTGGGGGCCGAGTGCCGCGGGGCAGGGGTGTTTGGGGATTTTCAGATTGAAATTGGATGCTTTTGGGGGGCGAGTTCTATTCCTTTGCACTTGTTGCTCTAGAGAGATTTTTTTTTTTTTTTTAAAGTCAATGATATTTTTTTGAGTAGTTCATGCTGTCTGGCCTGTACCGATGTCTTGAGATGGGAAGGCGCTTGGTTGCCTTTACAAACCGAGGGCAACGGAGGTGGGGGATTGTGAGAGGAGCGAGCGAGGGAGCCTCTTTAAAGGAGGGTGGGAGACCTGGCCTCTATCTGGGCATGGAATTGTGTGATGAGAGCGCTTGAGGCTTTTGAAGGATGGGGTTCGGGTGGGCAGTGGAAAGTGTTTGCGTTTGAGAAAAGGCCTCGTGGGGCTCACTGTGTGAAAAATGCGTCCACTAAGTAGAGTCGGGAGTTCCCTGGAGTTGTGGCAGGTAAGGGTTGTGCCCTATGGACATGAAGGGAGCAGGGGATTCCAGAGGCCTTTCAGAGACAGCCTTAGTTGATGGAGAGGGAAGGGTGAAGGGATGACCCTCAGGCTCCTGGTTGGAGCAGTCCAGCCTCAGCGAGATTAGGAGCCGATTGGAGAGGAGGGTCACCAGGTCTGTTGGACAAGTGGACTTCGAGATTTTGAGTAGATGGTAGATCTCGTGGGAGGGCATTTGAGTTCTTTTGGTGACAAATAACAGAAGCCTAGGGGAAAGAAACTTGGGAGGGTGGACTTCTGAGTTTCCTCCTGGAGTCCAAGAGCCAAGCTCAGTCAGCTGTCCTCTCTTTGCTCCGGCTGACCTTACCTAGCAGGGGCAAGCCTTCTAGCTCTAGCAGGTAACTAAAAAGAAGGTCAGAGGCATGCCAGTGAGATGCTTCTAGTTTATTGTAGAGAGCAAGACCAGGCAGGGTGCCCCGACAGGGGCTTTGGTAGTTGGACGTTTCTGGTTTCCAAATTCTGGTGGGCTTTGCATTTCTAAACCCCAGCACATCGTGGACTTTTTAATATTTTGTCCTGAAACAAAGAATGGAACAAAATCCCAATAGAGTAGTGAGTGAACCTCAGAGTTCAATGAGGATGATGGCCCACAGAGACTTTGACATATACTAAGGGTTCAGAAAGCTCCAGGAGGAGTAAGGGGAGCTGGGTGTGGTGGCACATGCCTGAGGTCCTAGTTCCTTGTGAGGACCCAGGAGTTGAGACAGTGCCAACTGAGGCAACAGAGTGAGACCCCATCTCAAAATAAATAAATAAACAAACCAATAAATAAACTTTAAAAAGAGGGGAAATGCCTAGAGAGATGCCCGTGCCTGCTTGCCTGGGCTGTCCATTGTCCTGTGGTTCTCCCCACTGCATGAGAAATGGGGCCGAAGAATGGGGTGACGCTGTAGCTGAAGGGCTTGGGTAGGCCACTTGTACCTGCTGTGAATGAAGGATGCCACTTACTGAGAGCTTCAGGACATTCACTTTGATCCCCACGGGGAGGGTGTCCAGCAGCTTCTTCATCTGGATTCCTGCCTCTTTCATGTCCGGATCAGGGTTGAAAGGTTCCACTGAACTCTCGTAACTGGAGAGTGTGCCCATGAAGAGGGTTTCCATGATATGAAAAAATTCAGGGCAGGTCTCTGCAGAAGCTGGAATATAGGAAAGAGAAAGCACATGGTTGCAGGCCCTTTTCCAAGCTGGCCAGCCCTCTGCTGGGCCTGCCCCAGATGCAGACACCCAGGCCCCTCAGCAAGAGATAGCAGCCTTTTGTTGATGCACTAGAATGTAGGATCTGGTGATGCTCCAAGCAGTTGACGATTTGGCACTGTGTGAATACGTTCTAGGTCATGGCCAGCTTTTCATGGCTTGCTCAAGCCATCCTGAGTCTTCCTGGGATGGGATGATGGCCTTTTATTTTTTCTTGCTGGAGTTCTAGGTAGAGTCTGGATAGGAGAAGCTGATGGTCTGATTTTTTTTTTTTTTTTTTTTTTAATGCAGTGCCTGGGCTGGGAGGAGAAAAATTTGAAAACTTTGGTTTCCACCAGTAACTTGCCTCCCACTTGTGGTTAATGATGGTCTGAGCCACGTGTCGCTGAGGGCAAGTGGCAAAACCCTTTACTAGCCCAACATGGGTTTCCAAACCTGGCGGGGAAGACAAAGGCACACATGGTATTAGGCCTGTGGCACTCTCAGCTCTTTTAGCTCACTGTGTTCCTTTCTGCTGGACTGCTGCCAGATTGTGCTGCCTTCTCAGGTCCCTTCCTTCAGGAGCATGGGGGACAATCACCATTTCCTACCTTCTGCTTGCTTCCAGCTTCCCACTGAGCCTCAAATCCCTGTCCTTGAATTCTCTGCCTTGTGTGCAAATTCAGCCCCACTCCAAGTGGAGCCCTCTCCAGGAACTCAAGTCCCCTCCTTTCAGTTCACAATGTTATCAGGAGACATACGTTATCTTTCAGTAGCTCAGTTTTCTTCTCTGTAAAATGGGGACAATATCTTTGCTTCCTTGGGTTGTTGGGTGAATGAAAAGAGATAGTATGTAAGAGGGTTAAAACCAGAATGATACATTATAAGTGCTAAATAAGTGCTGAGTATTGTTATTATTTTTATTATTGTTGTATGCACATATATGGATATACAAATGTACACCCAATTCACCCCTTAACATATTTCAGTTATATCTTGCTGAGCCACCCACCTCTATTTACTGTAATGAGATCTTCTAATTAATAAACATTCAGTCCAAAATGATGTCATTTCCCCTGAAAAACAAATAAACCTCTCTGCAAGATAGCTGTTCCCACTGCCTCTTGGTTTGGGTTGTCTAAGCCACCAGAGTCATAAAACGTATATCCACGGGTATTATGAAATTTTGCAACTGAATTAATTGGTGTTTGTTTATTAAAAAAAATAACAACAACGTTTTCAAATAGGAGTGGAAGAAGTTGATGGAGAGCAAAAAAAGCACAGTTAGGTAATCCTATTCCCCAAAGACAGGGTGCTGATCTCCTCCCTCCCTCGCCCTCTTCTTCCCTCCTTCCCCCTCTCATTTCCATTCCTTTCTTCTTAGTTACAGCAGTGACTACTTAGAGCCGCCTAATCCTTTCTGCAGAGGACAAAATGTTTAGAAAACTCCACTCTTGGTCAGCAGTTTCCCAGGAAAGATCCCTTATTGGAATCTTCCTTTCTGCCCCGAATAAGGGACTTCGCCTTGGGTTAGGTTTCTTTTGAAGACATGAGTCTCTGTAGTTTGCCTTCCAGACTAACAGCCAGATTTGGGTGAAGACCCCAAACGCGGAGGTTGTACCAAGGTCTTTTGTCATCTTGGGGACTGTCCCAGGCGGGGCTTGAGGGGCTCAGTGTCCCTATCCCATTTGTTCTTGGGTGGATGCTCTCGTCTGCATGGGATCTCCTTCATACCTCCCCCTCAGGCTTTTCCATTCCCTGGAATTTTGAGGTCATGGGTATGGAAGATGGGGTCCTTCGCAGGTTTTCTTACAGCTTGGTGCTCTGAGAATCAGCATTCCCAAGCCCTCCCAGCACTAGAGAGAGGATGCGGGCAGCTCATCACCCCTTCATTTGAGCAGAATGAGGTGGTGCAGAGTTTGGGAGCCCACTCTTGGGACCTTGGATACTCACCAGAGCTGCAGCAGAGAGCCAGTAGGACCAGGGTGAAGGTGACTATGAGCTTCATGGTGGGAGGCCCTGGTGATTCTGGTTGTCTCTGGATCCTGTCGTCTTGTGGCCTTCGGAGGCATTGGTGCCTTCTTATATGCTGCAGGCAGTGCCCAGAGGGAGGAGGTCAGGGTGCAGGCTCCGCTTAAGAGACTGCATTATTTACTTGTGCATCAGCTCTGTGGAATAAGTAAACATTCTCTTTTCTCAACCAGTTTCTGTTGTCATTGAAACTGAACTCACATAATGGGCCACCTGGAGCGGGGAGGCCCAGAGTACTGTGTGGAGGTAACAAGGGGAACCTGAGTCAGAGGGCATGAAGCCTGGCCACCTGTGCTCTCTCTTTGAACCGGAGCACTGGGGCAGTCCAGATCAATGGGAGCAATTGTAGAGCCCACCTGGACGCACCATCCCAGGAAAGACAGAGGCCCAAGGACCCTCACAGGTGGCAGGGACAGGGCTTGGATGGAGGACCCTGATTCTCCACTGGCTCTTCCACTGCTCCCCTCCAAGGAAGGAGGCTGGACCACAAGCCACAGGTTCCTGTGATTTGGAGCATCCCTGTGGTCAGGGTTGGGGGAGACCTTGGATCAAAGCACATGGACTTCTCCAGCGCACGCATCAGAAATCGAACCCCAGATTTTAAGCTGGATGATGTTGTGCATCAGGCTAGGCCTGTTCCCACCCAGAAGGGCCACCTGCCCTTCTGGTGGCCAGATGCAGGGGCACCTTCAGTCTTCTCTCGCTTGACCTCTTACTGGTCTTCACCCTGCTGACCTCCTCTTCCTCCACCCATTCTCTCCCCTGCGCTCCCACGGCAAGTTCTTTCCTTCTCCTTCTGTTTAGCTGTTTACTCTTTGCTGACTGGCCTTAAGTGTTGGGAGTTCCCAGGCTTTGACCTTAGCCTCTTTCTTGCCTCCCACAGCCACTTTCTCTGCTTGTTCCCTTCCTTCTCCAGGGTCCATATTCTATGACCACGGGCCTCCTGGACGGAATGCGCTCCTCCCCGGCCTCCCTGCCTCTCAACCATCTCTGAAGGGCCATTGGGATGATCTTCCTAAAGCCCACGGATCATGCCGTTCTGCTTCTTGAAACCCTTTCAAAGCTTCCTTTTGCCAGCAGGATAAAATTCAAGTGCGACTTACAAGGCCTTTGCCCACCAGCCTTTGCCAACCATCTGAACTTCCTTTCTCTACTCCCCTGCAGGGCACTTTAACTCTCTCTTCCTATTTGTGGACTTGGGCATGTTCCATGTTTTTTCCTGCCTTTTCACCTTTGCACAAACTAAGCCCCATGCCTGGAATATGAGTTTCCTGCCTTGTCCATTTCTCCAAATCCTATTTGTATTTCAAGGCTCAATTAAACATCCACCCATTCATTTATTCAAAAATTCCAAGCATCTTCTATGCCCGAGGCACTGTGCTAGGATTTGGGAATTGGGAATTGCACGGAGGGGCACTGTAGGAGCCCCTACAAGATGAACTCTCTGCCACTTGGCCTCCAGGAGTGTGGTCAGAAGAGAAACTCCAGCTGCCAGTAACCCAGAGAACTGACTTTTTCAAGGTTACACTGTCCCTGGAGGCTGATCACATTTGGTGGCAGAACAAGAAGGGGCTCTAAAAGCCTGGGCATTTCCTTTCCTTCCCTCCCTTCTTGTCTTTTTCTGAGATGGAGTTTTTGTTGCCTAGGCTGCTGTAGAGCTTCTGGGTGCAAGCGTACCTCCCTCCTTAGCTTCCTGAGTAGCTGGGACAGGTATTCGCCACTGTGCCCAGCAAGCCTGGGCATTTTTGCATCAGGTGAACACGTCTGGTGGGCAAATCTCCGGAGCCCTCTGCCTGGTTGGCTGAGAGGCAGTTCAGCTTTTCCCTCTGCCCGATCCTGCTTCCATCTCAGGTACAGCTTCCTGGTTACAATCTTGCATCCCAAGCTCTATCTCAGCATCTGCTATCCTGATGGTAACTATCCAGGACAGGGATACAGTGACAACGAACCAGACCCAAATCCCTGTGAAGCTTCACTTGAGTGATGACGACAGACTAGTAAACAATCAAACAGATGAAATAATTACAGGTTGCGATACTTGCTAGGGCAGAACTAAGCAGGGTGCTGAGACCTACTTAGATGGGGGACTCAGGGTGGACTTTCTAGATAGGTGGCTTCATGCTGAGGCCCATAGAGGGTTCCAGGCAGAGGAGACTAGCAGCACCAGGGCCCTAGGACAGGAAGGAGTCCAGTGTGCCTGAGAGGCAGTGGCTGGAACATAACAAGCCTCAAGCTAAGAGCTTTAGGCCCCGAGTACTGGGAGCTCTTGAAGATTTTTATCAAGGAGTGACATGCTCTGATTTCCCATCTGCTGAGATGGACCCTGGCTTGGGCGTTGGGATTCAAAGGGTGCTGTTTCCTGAAACAGAAGTCTTGGGAGTAATAGGGTTGGGAGCAGGAACAATGGAGTCTTTGACACCCCTGTTTACAGTGCTCACTGTATGTTATTTTAACCTTGGGATTCTTTATGTGTAAGACTCCTTTGCTGGCTGAATAGGAATCCCTGGCATGGATCAATGAATAAGTCCTTTGCATTATGTTTTATTTGGAGGCCGTGGCGACCTGCACTGTCTGACTTCAAGGCACCTCGACAGGGTTGAGAGCACAGGTTCCAAACTAGCCACAGCCAGGACTTGTCAAGTAAATTACCGTGTGGCCCTACAGCAAGGCACTAGGTAGCTGAAGAGTCAGGGAAGATCTGAACTATCAGGAAATGATCTTCTAGACAGACTGCAAACCAAAGCACAGAACAGGGTAAAACTGAGTCAAAAGACACCATGAATGTACTTACTTGTATGCCTGCAAACTATCTCTTCAGTGGACGGTAATGGTTGTTTCTAGAAAGGAGAAGCATTTGGAGGGGCCTAAGAGGAGACTTTTCACTATGATTCCTTCGGTAACTTTTTTTTTTTTTTGGTATAAATTTATCATCAATACAAAATAATTTTTTAAGAAGAGAGAACAGGGCTAACACCTGCTACTACTTGGACACACCTCGAGGACATTATATTTTGTGAAATAAGCCATTCAGAGAAAGACAGGCACATGTGATTCCCACTTTATGAGATACCTCAGGAAGTCGAATTTATAGAGACAGAGAGTAGAATGGTGGCTATTAGGGTCTTGGGAGAGGACCATGGGGAGTTAGTGTGAAGTGGGGCAGTTTCAGGGTTTGCTTGCTGAAGAAGAGTTTTGCACATCTCCAGGTGGTGGTGGTTTTATAAGAAGGCCAAGGCACTTAAATGTGTTTGAAATGGTAAAATTCATATTAAGTGAATCCTTCCACAATTAAAAACAATAATATAAAAAAAGAGAGAGAACAGGTTGAAGAATGAGACTAAATGGATTGAGTGTCAGACCCATCGAATTGGAAGTGAATTGCCTTGAACCAAGAACTTCACCTCTCTCTGTCTCGATTTCCTTGTTGTATAAGGAGCATAATAAGATCATCTTTGCTTCTGGCTCTGACCAAGGAGTCATGGAGTCCTAGTACAGAGAGTTACTCAGTATAGGAGGGCAAGTGCCACATTTTCACATCTGCACCTGGAATGTCTTCCAGATTCCTTGGTCGAGTCTACACATGTGTGAGTCGGGGCAGCAGAGGATCTTGGGTAAGCCTTGGCCTGGGCCATTAGGTTGAGCGTTTCCTGAACTGCCCTGCTGTGTCCATCAGATATACCTCTGGGCTTAGCTGACTCCTTTGCCTCTGGCTTGGCCCCAAGACAGGCGTTAACAAGTAAGGTTACTGCAGGAAAGGGAACTTCCAAGGTTGCGCTGTAGGAAAGCCTCGGAAAGAGGCTCAGAATGCCCAGGAACACTTTGTATCCTTGTCTTGGAGTCCTAGAGTGAGGACATCTCCCCGTATCCTCCCCCAGAGGAGTAGTTAAACACAAGGCCCTCCTGGATGCATGGATGACCATTGGCTGTGCAGAGAATGGCTTGATAAGTGTCATGGAGACGGGAACCTTAAAAATGCCAACATCAAAGATTCTAGTTTGCTTCTTCCAGGGAATTCTTCACGGTCATATGATAGGAATTAGCTTGTCTTGTGCTTGTTTCTGACATTTCTGCTCCTCTCTGACTCTGACTCCTTGTTTCTCTGTGTTTATCCTTTAACCCTTTTTCCTCCCTCCTCCATATTACCTCCCCTTCCCAACAAGGCCCTGGCTCAGTACAGGGACAGCTGGCTTCTGTTGATGGCTTCCCAGGCCCAGCTGGTGGGGGTGGGAGTCTGGGTGGGACCTTGACTCCACCACCAAGTATCCTAGACAGGCTTCTCCATCCCGGCCCTTGGGAGAGCCCTACCTGGCCATGGTGGGCCTTTCTGCCCCCTGCCCTGGAGCCTGCAAAGCTCCTGCTTCTCTGACCCACCACGAGGGACAGTGAGGCAGAAAGTGCTGATCAAGGGTCAGAGTTCGAGCCTCAGAGTGTTGAGCCTCTTAAACTCAAACATCAGCTCTCATCCTCAAAGCCTGCACTGTGCTGAGGCCCAGGCCAGAGCCCTAAGCCCACCTGGCACACGGAAGGGGCGGGAGCCCCCATTTCTGGCTGCTCATGGACCATTACCTGGTCACTTTGCAAAGATAGCCTTCTGGGGGAAGACAAGTCACTCAGTTATTACCACCAAGGGGACAGCAATGAATTGGCACAGTTCCTGTCAATCTTTCCACACCCTCAAGCCCTATGTTGCCCTGATCCCTGGATTGCTGGAGCTTCAAGGGCTGGGCCCGTGGACCTCTGGGGAGCCTGCTAAGATGGTGTAAGCACCTTGGGCCTGGTTCTGGCTTTTAGGAAAGAACCTCACCCAGAGTCTAAGGTAGAAGGTGCTGAGGAACCTGGAGGCCTGACCCGGCCCTTTCCCATACAAGGGGTATGTGTTGGTAATACATGTGGGTGCCAGGTTTTTGAGGCACATTCAATAATCCTCCGTGAGGCTTCCCCCAGTTCCTACTTAGAGGTCTGGTGGGAGGGGAGGAGCCAGCAGCGTCCCCAGCACATACTGCTCAAAGGTGTTGACTGAGACCAGGTGTTCACCCCTGGGCTTGATGCTTGGCATATCCCAATGAGT